TTTAATGGTTTCGATGCACTGCGACACAGGACCATGAAATAATTAAATGCACACTGAAATAATAATATAAATTTTTTTAATAAAATGAAGACATTTATATATTTAATTCCTTATTTATTTAATGAATTACACATTTAATTTATTGTTTATCGCTGTATTTATTTATTTATTTAATTGTGGCACTTTATATTAGTGACGTGGTTTTAATTAACTGAATGACACATTTATTTATTTAATTCTACATTTAATTAATCATTGACACATTTAATTATTTATTTAATGCTGTATTCATTTATTTAATTTTGGCACTTTTTATCCTCCATAGAATTCGGCACCCAAAAAGTTTCAATTTTACTCTGTATTTTTTGTGTATTTAAAGCTACAATCATGGCAAGGTGAGGCAGAATTATATGTTTTGGAAATAGGGCGTCACTCTTTACTCTACAAAGCAGTTTTTTTCCCTTGTGTGACGTACTAAAAGTAAACAGCTACTGATGGGGACTAAAAAGGGAGAAAGCAGCAAGAACTAATAACCTCTAGCTGCCAACACAAGCAGAGTAATGTTCTACGTACAGTTAGAGACGCCGCTGGTTCTCTTCTGACCTTTAGGTAACTTCTGTTTGAGGTTAGTAGATAATTAAGCACTCAAAAGTAAGAAATTAAGCTGAAAATCTGAAACGATAAAAAAAACTTGTCTACGAATCCTAATAATTTGCTCGAAGAACCAACCACGATGTTTTTGCTCCTTGTTGTTTGTTGTAAATATTACAAAAAACATCCAGAACACAAAAAAAAAACAATTTGACCTAAGGTTGATGCATTATATTTTAAGAAAGGTTCTCAAACATTCCTTTACAAATACAAAACCAAGGGGAAACTAATTGATAAACATTTTACCAAAGTAAAAATGTGTTTTGTTTTCTTTCACTTGTGATATATAGATGATTCCCTCTTTTATTTGCATTAAGAATTAAAACCCTATTCTGTGTCATTACTGCACTCTTTTTAGGAGCTCTTTTCTCCAGGCGCGGGACCTACCTGCAGGGATTTGCATTTCCTGCACTGATGTTGTCTGATGAAGCCGGGCTCTGCATTAAGGCTTTATCTTTAACAGTCGGAGCTTAATGCACCTTTGCCTCTCCTGTGCATGGAGGTTTTGTCACGTTGCACAAAAGAGAATCCAGAAATGAAATTGAATTATTTATAATGTAGTGAAATTGAATTTGGAATTGCACACTGTAAGGTCCTCATCAGCGCGTCATGCTAAAAACGGCAAAAGGTTTATGAGGTCCTAGTTGGAAAACAAGAAGCATGAATTCATTTATAGGGAATTATTCAGGGGACCAATGATAAAGGTGTGCATCCTAATCATTTGCATCATCTTGGAAAATGTAACTTAATTCAGTAATTTAATTTTGATGCTAAACTCCAATGTAGATTAATGGGGCACAGTCTATTTCACTTTGTTTTTTCTTTTTTTTTCGCCAAAAAAAAAACTTTCTTGGAAACTTTCTGTTGCAAAATAACCATGAAAAAAATAAAGAGATAATGTTAAATATATTAATCATAAAATCTGGAATTAGCTAAATGGACTAGCTATACAATGAAAACCAGAGCTAGAGTATGTGAAGTTCTGGTTTTTAAAAACTAAACAAAAAAAAAACATCTAATTTTATCTGTAATTCATATCTAATGTTTGAGCTTGATTAACATCAAATTACTGTTACAATCAGAAGTTGTCTTTAGGCTCTACTTCCCTTCTTGTTGCTTAAATATTCAATACATTTTATTTATATAGCATAATTCACAACACATGTATTTTTAAGGCACTTTAAAGACCTTTCAATCAGATCATCCAGTCAGATTGGTTAAAAGTTTCTATCTTAGGAAAACCAGCTGAGACCATCAGCTCATTGACTTTTCACGATTCATTCCTCTTGGATTAGCTTGTTAGAAGTAATAGATATTCCCTTCCATTTTGTCGTTAACTCTACAGTAATCTCTCACACCAAGCATGCATGCAGTAACAGTGGAGAGGAAAAACTCCCCTTTAACAGGAAGAAACCTCCAGCAGAACCAGATCCAGGTGTGAGATGCTATCTGCTAGGGCTGACTCTGGGTACATGGAGAAAGAAGCAGACAAAATTAGCATAGAAGCACTGTTCTATAAATACTCTCTGTGTTAGAAAAGGTAACAGTAAGCTAGTTCCACGGGTGGCTCTGTCTGAGAAAGAAACAGTTAAGCAGATGAGCTCTGAGTCGGTTGGGGGAATGGTGGCCTAGTAGTTAGGGGATTGCGCTTTGAATCCAGAGGTTCTGAGTTCGAGCCCCACTCCCATAGACTGTCACTCTGGGTCCCTGAGCAAAGACCCTTAACCCCACACTGTTCCCCGGGCGCCGCACCATGGCAGCCCACTGCTCCCTAAGGGGATGGGTTAAATGCAGAGGTCTATTTCTCCAATGTGAGATCAATAAATTTCTATTATTATTTTCATGCAAAAACCAGACTAAGCCCTGGAAAACAGACCTAACTATATCATCTATCATCTTAGCTGTTGATGGAAGTTACTCAGCAGATATTACTTTACAAGATGGTGTCATAGCCAAACAGGAACTGACCAGATGTAAAAAAGTAGAGAGCTGTAAAAAAGTAGAGAGCATAAGTGTATAGGTTGAACAAACAAATGCTGCAGAATGGAAGAATAGAGAGAGAGAATGAAGCAGAATGAGGAAAAATGGTCTCTACGTCCTCCAGCAGTCTAAGCCTATAGCAGCATAACTATAGAGATAGCTCTGGATAACCTGAGGCACTTTAACTATAAGTTTTATCAAAAAGGAAGGTTTAAGCCGACCCCTAGTAGACAGGGTGTCTGTCTCACAGACTAAAATAGGAGAGGAGCCTGATAACTAAAGGATCTGCCTCCCATTCTACTTCAGAAATTCTAGGAACCACTAGTAAACCTGCAGATGGAGAGGGAAGTGCTTTGTTAGGAACATAACAATGAGATCTGACGGAGCTTGGCCATTTAAGACTTTATATGTGAGAAGGAGGATTTTAAAATCTCACTTTTATTTAGTAGGTAGCCATTAGTGGGAAAAATATCATCTATTTTTTTCATTTTCATCAGAACTCAGACGTCAGCTGTTCTGGATCAAGTTAATTCTTTTAAATGCACTCAGTGGATTTCTCATAGTAAAGGATTAGAATAGTCCAGCCTATAAGTAGCACTGTTTCCATGACCATCGTCCTCTTTCCTGTGAAATGAACCAGTCCCCTCCTGCAGCAAAATGATCACAGTTACAATGATTTACCAGCCTCCCCTGTTTTCCATCCAAATAGAACAGGGGTCAACATGACATGGCAGTTAAATTTTAGCTTCATCGGATCTGCAAAATCGTCATGCCTCTCTGTAACTGCAAATTTTTCAAAGCTTTACATCCTAAAGCTGGTTGAAAAGGGTGCACAAGTGACAAGGATACTAATAACGAGAAGGTTGTGTGCAGATGGGGGGACTGAAGGTTCACCCTTTTAGTTTCAAGATGATTTCTCTTCACACTGAGCAGAAGAAGCCTCCTGTACTACTGAACAGCACATAGAATAGCAAATTATTTACATGCTTTAGATCTGAGAATGTACTTATTAAATATACTTTTGGACTAAAAGCAATAAAGCAGCTGAGTATTAGCCCCCAAATTGTATATATTTCAGGAATTAACTAAGTTTACTTTATAGACCAAAGCGTTTGTTGTTTTATTCAGAAGAAAACCACCAAATGGAGACTGAAGGACACTAACATTTTTCTCATGATCTTATCCAAAGCTCTGTCACCACAGGAAAGGAACAGAGTCACAAATTTGATTAAGATCAAGGAGGAACTGATTTATCCTGAAAGCTCTCATTATGAGGCCTGCTTAGAAAAGAAACAGTGACGCTCTTTAAGCAGAGAACATTTTACAAGGTAAATATTAAGTAGTTTTTGGGTGTCCCCTGTTTGTCACTTTACCTCCCTAAACTTTAACTGAATTAGGTTGAAGGTAGTTTTACACCGGTTCTTAAGTGATTTAAAAATAAAAGGTGAAACAAAGGTCATTTAAGGGGAGAGAATGTAAATATCTACATGTCTATGTTCTGTCAAAGATATGCAATTTGTCTGTTTGACACAGGGACATCTCTGATAAATGAAATGGGGTTATAACATGTTTAGATGTGATAACATGATGTAGGACTCTGCCATTACTGGTAAATAATTGTATTTGGGTGTAAGACCTAACATCTTCCGGATCCTTGCATATCTTCAAGTTATCCATCTTTCTAACCTTGCTTTTTTTGTTCTTATCACTGTTTTTGCAGGGATTGTTGACTCTATTTAATCTATTTGTTCCCTTTTGATAATATTCACATATCTAGATCGGCCTCTACGTATGTTTCCTCTGTGTTTCAGATTAAAACACATAGAAAAGGGAGCATTTTGGGGTTTTTTGTGAAATCACGGTGTGGTTTTGTAACTATTTTGCATGCACAGAAGGCAGGTAGTGGCTGTTATCTTACTTAGAGAAATGTGCAAATGATAGATAAATGGTCTTATTGTTCTCATGATGTTACATAAGACAAATCAGAAACGCTTTAATGAAACTGATTATATGAAACTTCTTTTATTTGTGTGTTTGCAGGGCATTAAACCGGACAGCTTCTACAAGGTCAAAGTCCCAGAACTCAAAGAGATCATTGAGGGCTGCATACGCATGATCAAAGATGAAAGGTGAAAAAAACTAAAACTTCAAGTGGATTTAAAAAGTTTTCCCACCTGCAATAGATAGTTCTGCAGGTCACTATATTTTTAGTAATAACCCAGAAATCTCTCCTAATTTAGAGCATCTGTTTAATGAAGTGGATAGATAAATATATGATGAAGTAATAAATGTTCTTGCTTGTGATTTAGGTACACCATTCAGGACCTTCTGGACCACCCCTTCTTCCAGGAGAACAACGGTGTCCACGTGGAGCTGGCGGAGGAGGACGACATGGTGAAGCCTGGACTGAAGCTGTGGCTGCGCATTGATGATACCAAGAAGCTTCACGGGAAATACAAGGACAACAACGCCATCGAGTTCCTCTTTGAGCTCTACAAGGACGTGCCTGAGGAGGTGGCTCAGGAGATGGTAGGCTGATGCACCAACATTTGAAGTCAACTTTTCTTATGCTTTAAGAGGAATCTAACTGGTTTTAGATGCAAGCAAAACAGATATGGTGTTAGGGATGTCAATTAAATCTAATTAACGATTATGGTGCCTTATTTTTATGGGCTTCAATCAGAAAGCAGCAAAGGGAGTTTATTTGGATATGTGGTTTATATAAAGTCATGCATGGGACCAAAACATTTCGTCTAGTCAGCCAGGCAAGCAAAGACCCTAACGACTCCCCCTTTCAGAGGCATAGGCCAGTATCGGGTATTGCAGTCTAACAAAGACCTCAGCAACTTCCCATTACTAAGGGGTGGACCTGTTCTTTGGGTTAAATTTTTATGTTTTCTAAGCCCCAACAAGGTTTAGAAAACTCTATAAAGCTTGGAACTCGATGCTAATCCAGATATTTTCAATTTAAAAAGCTTCCTGGATGGAAGTAGCCTCGTGAGACCATCCTGATCTCGCGAGCTTTCAAGGTTTCACTCGCTAATCCTTCTGGACTC